TGATATATTAATATAATGAAATATTAATAACAAATTATCTTAATAGGCCGGGTGAATAAAAATGAGCAATTGCTTTTACTAAGTAATTGGTCAGCTTTACGTGAATAAAAACTTTAACAGTTTTCTTCAAATTTTTTTTCACGCAAAGGTAAGCAATTTACTCAGTAATTGTTCAGCTTTACGCGAGTAAAAATTTAAGTAAAATTGATCAAGCTTTTATTCACGTAAAGCTGACCAATTTATGAGTAAAAGCGGTTAAACCGTTAACTCATTAGCGCATCTAAGACACGAATATAGGGTAACACAGACTTTCTGTACAGGGGTAACACAAACTGCGTAACATAATTTTTTAAAATAAGTTATGTTCTGAATTTACGCTCTGAAAATTTTTTTTTCTAAGCAAAATAACATCAAAATTTACAATTGAAAAAAATATTAAAAATAACGTTTACGTTTAGTGGTCCACTCAAAAAGTTCTCATGAACCCCTTGGCTGGGCTGATCTAGATTACGTCTAATACGTTTAAAGACGTTATTTTTGATATATTAAAGTACGCTAAAGACCTTAATATATATCGAAAATAGAAGTTAGTTTAGATATATCCAAGTCGAAACAATTTGCCAAATGTTTTGTTTTTAGAAAGGAGGAAAATGTCTTTATTATCACATAATTATCTTGTACCAAAGATATTAAAAATTGCTAATATAACATTAAGTTTAAATTTGGTGATGACCTAAGTATATTTAATTATAGGCCTATGTCTGTCTTGTTTGTTATCAACCATGCTTCTTAGAATTGTTAGAATGTATTATGTATGATAGACTTGATAATTATTTAACTAAGAACGATAAACTTATAATAAAAATTTTGGTTTTAAAAGACTCATTCAACAGATCATACAGTAATTGAACTGATAAATTTTATATCAAATAATGATTTGTATTAAAAGTTGTTTGTTGATTTGTTAAAGCATTTGACACTGTTATCCATGATATATTTATAAAAAACAAGGACTCTATGGAAAAACATACTCTAGTCCAAAGGTTACCTGTTAAACAGAAAAATATGTAAAAAAGACTAAACTATGTTGTTCCAAAAATCCAGTGAAAGTGATCATTATTGAAATGTTCTAATTTTTAATAAAAAAGAGAATCAGTTGCTTCTAGGAGTAATGATAGATAAAATATATAATATATCTTAAAAACTTTCTAGGAGTAATGATAGATAAAATATATAATATATCATACTAAATCTATTAATAATAAATTCAATGAAGATATAAAGTTAAACCGTTTCCTAACATCGAGTTTTTGAAAATTACATACTTTTTTATTTGTTCATAGTTACCTTTCCAATATTGCATAAAAAAATCCCATTTATGAGAAACTTAAACAAATCTTTTGTAAATAAATATATTCACGCAGGATTACATTTTGCGTTACTAGAATTATTCATGGAGAGTCTCCTTTTTAGGGTAATTAATGCACTTAATATTTAACATATATTAAGTGTTTTTCTTGTTCAAAACAAGTCAAAATCTAAATTATCGGCTAATATATTTCACATTTCCTTTACCAACATTTTTATATATATTTGATAAATTTTTCTTTATGGTGAAATACCATAATGAAAAATTTGGGTTGTTTTGCCACTCAGGGTTGGCAAAAAAATCCAACCCAAAAAAACCCACCTTTAAAAAACCCTAAAAAACCCAAATATATTTGGGTTTTTATTAAATATTTTATTTTACAATTAATGAGTTTAATTTTAGCTCCTATAAATGCTTTATAATTACCAAATTGGAAGTTTTATACTGTAAATACTCTTGTATACACTGTATTTATATACAAAATGGTATTTAGAATATAATTTTTAGTTTGAACTTTTTACAGAATAATCCAAGATACAAACAATTATTTTTTTTAGTAAGTTGGTAATTTATTAATTTCTAAACCATTACCTAGTTAAATAATAAAAAATATTATTGTAGTATGTATTGAATTACCAGGGAAAGTTAGTTAAATGTTTATAAGGGAAAATAAAATCATTCTATTTACTAAATTTAATTCATTTGCTTTAAATATAATAAAAAGAAGCTTTTTTTTTGGCAAACAATATACCTTTTTTATTTTAAATTTGCCTCTAAATTACAAAAAACAGGAAAATAGCTGATGTTTAAAACAAGTTACACTTAAGCAGACCAAGAAACAGCTGTAAATAAAGTGAAAAGCAATGGGTTTACCATAAGGAAGGCTGCTAAAACTTATAACATTCTATAAATAACATTACATTAAAAAGTAAAATTTATGGATCAAGGTCCAAAAAAGCTTGGTGGACAAACCAGAATTTATAGTTCAACTAAGTTTATTTGTTCAAAAAAATACTTATATAACCGACTGGAGTAACAAAACAGAGGCGATAAAATGTTTTCTAGGAAAAAAAAAAAACACGTAATGGTCTTTGACGAATTTGTTTTATTCTTAAGAACAATCTAGGGTTAAGTACATATTCACTTGCAAATCTATCAATAATCTAAAAACTAAAAACATTACATTGTGTTCTATGTCACTAATCATTCTCACCTCATTTTAAAAATGCGGTTATGATCATATGAAATAAGAAATTTACTGCAAAGAATCGATTAAGCCTAGAACTTTTCCAGGTATCTGGATAGTATAATATTCAGTTAAAAAAAGGTAGCTATTAGGCTAACAGTTTTCTTCCATACTTAATTTTTTTATACTTAACTTTTATTTTTTATACTTAAATATCTCAGTTGCAATAATAATTATTTATGGTGATTTTTCTTAGTCAAAAATACTCTAAGGATGTTTTTAGAGTGGTTAGAGCGCTTGTTTTAGAAACAAGAGATCTCCTGTTTAAAGCGAGCTCGGGTATGTTTTGGGCCATCGGTAAGGATTGAGGCGTGAACTTGCAACTTAAATGCTCTGAGGCAAGACTGTTTGGTCTTCTTGGGACATCTAAAATAAAACTAAATAGAAAAAAAAAGAAAAACTTAATGAAATCAAATTAAAAACATGTTCAATTAATTAACATCATTTATAGTTGAGGGAGTCCCCTTGAACATCATATATCTAATGTGACAATAGACTAGTGGTTAAATATTTGGCTCACAATCAAGAGATTCAGATTCAAATCTACCTTGCGCATTCTGAAATTACTGTGCTTAATCTGTTTCCCTGTTTCAGCGCCCTTGTTTTAAAATGTTTGTGTTTCTGATTTAAGAATTGAAAGAGAATATTTTAAAAAAGTGAGCAAAAATATTTATTCTTCTACCAATCCTCTTCCAATATATTTTGAACAAATTGGGAATATTTCGAAAAAAAACAAGTAAACCTATCTGGAGATATCCTTTTTCAACTTTATTAGTTTTGCTATAATCTAATTTGGAGATTTTACTTCTACTTTTTTATCCAAGAATAATTTTTTAATTCCTCTTAGCTTCTGACTTAACTTAAAAATATTTTTTCCAAATAAAACCATTCATGCTTTCGTTACTGTCCTTGTATTTTACTGCAAAGACAATTTTTTATTAAATCTTGATAAAAAATCTTTAAAAAATGGTTTTTAAATTTTCTGAATGGCTAATTAAAGGCCTAATTTTGTTTTGTATTTAAATAAGTTTGCTAGTTTATCAGACTGCCACAAGCAGTATATGACGTCGGACAAAACTTGGTGGCATATTCATAAATGATGCAAAAGTACACTTAGATTTAAATCTAATGACTTAAATATTTATTACATTTTCTAAATTCTCTAAAAACCACAATAGCATTCAACTTTGCAACAGCAACAGGTTTTCCAGGAGAAGTTAAAATTGGTTTAAGGCTTGAAGAAGTTGTATCAAAGTTTGCAAAGAACTTACAAATATCAAATGATAACAGTAACTCATATGAGAACCCATTTTTATTTTGTAAATTGTCTTTTAGTAATAACTTTCCATCATTTAATGAACAACATTCAGTTCATTTACAATCATTAAACATTGTCTTTAAAACTTTAAAGTTTATATTTATATTGTAATTATCTTTTGTAATTTATCCGTTAAGTTTTTTTTTCTGCATTATGAAATTTAGCATTATTTTGTAATTTATTTTGATTTGCACTTTCTTTTTAGTTTAAAACAGAGGTTTGATTAATATTTGTCTATACTTTAATTGGTAACATGTTGGTTTCCTCTAAAAACTTTTTTTTTGTTTAATATATTAGGTAAATTTTTAAATTTTAGAGGTGATATATATTAAATTATCTTGAAAAAAAAATGCTATGGACGTTGTTAGGTAACAAAGTCCATTCTAATCGTTCCTAAGATGATTTAGACCAATTTATGTACAAATTCAACAAATGTAAGTACTCTAATTATGTTCTACAATGATTGAAATATTAAGAAAATCACTTTTTATAAAATCTCAAATAAAAATTTTAATACGTTTTGAATTGGGGTTGACCACCTTGTTACATAAACTGTACACCACTTGTTACATAAACTGTGACGTCTGAAAGTGCAACGTGTGAAAGTGACTCGGCAATGTCACAGCATATGTCTTCGCTTTGCTCCGGCCATGTACGATCTTTCTTATAGCAAATTTTTTTATACGGCACACAAAATTAAAAAAAAGGTCCAGAAAAAAAAGTCCTGTCAAATCTTTCAATTTTGTATGTACATACAGAATCGAAAATTTTCACGACTTTTTTATATTGACAAATGAATGTACCTAAATATGTCATCAATATATACTTTTTTAATTTCAAATAAAAATAAGCTTTTTAGTAGTTTTTTGTTTTGAAACATCTATTTTAAGTTGTAAACAGAAAAAAAAAATTATACTGCCATGTTTACATTTATTAAGCAAAATTTATTTTGCAATATTTTTTGAATACTAATTTCTTTCTGAGTTACAAAAAATTTAGAAAAATGCTAATCAATAACGGAATATTTTTTTAGGCAATTCTCATATCTGTTGGAACAGGCAAACTTAACTCTCTTTCTATCAACCCAATTGAGGAAACATCAAAACAAACGGCTGGATTAGGACCAGCTCTTACGTTACGGACTGCGTTGGACAAAGTTGATTGCCATTAATTTTATTGAATTTCATATAGTTGGAATCACTAAAAAATACTTTCTTAACAGTGTTGGCATAAATGGATTACGAAAAATCTTGTTTTCATGCTTCTAAAGGTTTTGTTTTTATAATTTTTGTTTAAATCTTTAAATTCAATAAAAATTTTATTTCAATATTTACAAAGGAAACATGTCTAACGTTCTTTTTTATAGAAAGAATTTAACTGTGCACTACTACGTTAATTCAAGTAGGAATTTAAGTAGAAATTCCACAGTGAAAATCTTAAATTTAATTTAGGTTTTGTACTGCTTTTATTTGCAAAAACAGGACGTTGTTTTCTTAGATAAAAATTTCGTTAGATACTGTCAACGGGGTGATTGTGAACACTTTTTAAACATTATTGCATCACATAAGAAAATTGTTAGCCTAATCGCTACCTATTTTTTAACAGAAAATTATACTATCCAACTTCCTATGAAGAATTAGATCTGATTAACACCATCAGCATATTCATATTTTTAAAACAGGTGAAAATAAACAACTGATTTGGGGTGACTTTGAACACAACATAATTTTTTTATTTCTTAGATTATGGATTGATTAACACATTTTTAAGGGGGAAAACACTGTTTAAGATCAAAAAACTAACAGAAAATGTGTTTTAGTATGTAGTAGAACCTTTTATTTCAATTAAGGCTTTGTGCATTATCATTTAAGTCAATTTATACATTGTCAGCAACTTTTTTTGTCAAATGATACCTTTTCATGAAAGACTGAACCCAATCTACTCCTGGAAAATTATTTTTGATTTGAGAGTCAGTTATCTTCCTTTTATCGAAATAAAATTTAACTTGTTTCTCCGTGCAGCAGCCTTGTTCATCAAGGTTCCTGTTTCGGAGTTATAGAGTTGAGAGAGGGTTTTAACCACAATTATGTAGCTTCCTTGTCTGTAGTGGTCTTCTCAGCCTTTAGGAGGTGAATTACCATTAAAAAAAAAATTGGTTCATGTGAAAAAATTTACATACTAAGTTTACAACCTAGTTTTTTCAACACTGCGGTGGTATGCAGTAGTGGTAGAGCGCTTGCTTTATAAGCAAGATGTTCTGATTTCAATCCCCACCATGTTACTGGCAATACCGCCCTCAAGTTGTTTCTCTGATCAGTGGCCTTGTTTGTCAAGGTTCATGTTTTGGTTTTTTTATGTTATGAAGTTAAGATTATAACTTGTTTTATAATCTCTCTTATTTTCTTTTCTTTTGTAACTTTGAGGCATCTTTCTTAAAATTAGCACAGAAAAAAGTTTAAATTTTTGGTAAAAAATTTCATTTTATAAATTTTAAAAAATTTCATTAATGAGCAAATAAGAAGATACAGACAAGCTATACCCTCAGTTTTATTAGAACTCCATGTAACAGAACTTGATGTTGATGATGAAATAAGTAGCAAATTTTATATTGTTTTGATATACACTTTTTGAGATATAGCTTGATATCACCTAACTGCTCGAACTGCTTAAATCTTGCTTTTTATATGCAATAGAGAAAAGCTGTAAAAGGAAAATATTTTGTGCAGCCTAAAATTAGCTATTATGATTATATTTAAAGCAATTGAATCAAAATAACACAATATTTAACTCTATTATATGTGTTGCTTCATCTTTGAATAAATTTGGTACAGATGTTTGTAGTCACTGCGCTGTTCATAGTCACCTTTGTTGATGGTACTTAGAGAATTTCAACAATTGCCAAACTTTCTTTAACTTCCTAATAGCATTAGTTCCCCCCACCCCCTCCTTTTCTCCATAGACAGCATTAATAAAAAACTATGAGTTCTTTGACAAAAAACCTATATATAATTCGAAAAAAATAAAATTCAAAATATTGTTTATGCTAATTTGTTATAAACTTCCCCCTCTTCCATTTATCAACTGTCAAATTTATCTATATCTTCTCTCTCCCAAACTTTTTAAAGGCGATTAGATGTGATGAATTGTAGTTTATAAATATATTAAGGAGAGAGTTTAAAATTTAGATTTAAAAGTATCATCTTCATCATCATTCTATGATGCATAGAAATAGAATAATTTAGGTATGTGGGTTAAAAATTTTAAATTAATTAAATGCTACACAGTTATCATGGATACTGATAATGACAACCTAGTTGATCCAAGAATGCCTCTTATATGGAAAGATAGCATTCACATCAAGGCACTCAAAATTTAAATGTTAAAGTTGAGCGAAGTTTTGACTTTATAGTGAGCCAAAAAAGACACCTGGAAAATGAGAACTACTCTATATAATTTTATAAAAATTGGCACAAATATAGCCTATGGCCACACCAAACTCTGGATAAAATTTCTGTCTGATTTATTAAGTGGTTAGTGATTTATTAAAGTTTTATTTTAAAATGTGTTACTTTTTTGCTACCTATACCTCAAAACGTTACCAATTACTGTGATATTTGGTTACTATTTTAAAATAATGGTTAAATGGTTAAAAAAAACAGTTTAGGCACCATGCCATCTCAGATTCAGATGATTTTTGGAATACAAGCTTATAATAATGAAAGAAAACTTAACTCCAATTTTTTATGTCTGATTTCTTATGGTTTCAGAGATACCGATATTCAGTCCCAAACTTTTTTTTAACTGTTTTTTTTTCAAGCTAATTACATCACACAACTCTAACATATGAAATACTTGTTTAATAGTAGTAAAAATTTGTACCTAACTATATTTTAGGGGGAGGAACTCAAAAATTATAGCTAAAACACTAAAAAATTAAAGCTTCTATATGTATATTTAATTTCAAAGTAATATAATACTTTTTTGTAATTTTTTTGATGCGTACAAAAAAATATTTATCTTGAAATGCCTAAAAGATATGATTTTGAAGTTTTTATCTAATGTTCTATATTTAACAAACACCATAAAACAAAAACTGCAAGGATTTTCTTTTTTTAAAATCAGATTTATTTGCACTTAAAGTTCTATAATTTGCATTTGTAATTCTAAACCATAAAAATATCAAAATTTAAATATCCATGGAAGTAATTAAATTGTAATAAATTTTTTTTTATTAAAACAATAAGAATTAACTATTTTTAACAGTTTATTAAAAAATTATTTCTCTGGTTTAAAGTTTTCCCAGCTTTCTTTAATGCTTTGGTGACCAATTTCACTAATTTGGTTTTGTCTTCCTGTGACAGTTGTTGCAATATTAATCATTAAGAATAAGTTTGTTGATAGAACCTAGCCTACACCATCTCTAGAAGGCCAACAATATGACCTTAAAGAGTAAAATGAATGTATGAATCTAACTTAAAAGTCTTTATTTTCAACATCAATATCCTTCAATAGTCCAATCCATGAGTTGTTAATATATATCAAACTCTGTTTGTTCAGAAATAACTTTTGTTTCAGTTTTTGTGTTGTTTATTGGAATGAAATTGTGGTAGCTGTGGGTGCCTGGTAACGTTGCTCCATTTTACTTTGAATTATCATGTTTGATTTCTTATATATGCATCAAAAACTAATTTCTTTGGGTTCATTTTGGCAAAAATAAAACATTCCAGATGCTGTAAATATATGATTTGTTGTTGCTCAATGAAGGCTAGCAATGGAAGTTAGTCTTTTTACAGTTCTGCCAATATTGTCACAGGACAATTTACTTTAACTTGTTGCAAAGAAATTCTATGTAAATTTCATAGCAAAATCTTGCTCATGGAGGCATAAATCTGGCTGCAAGTTGGTTCTCCTGGTCCATCATCCTTAAATGACATCAATTTAATTTTACCTTATGGACATATCTTTTCTCCAGGAATAACATTAATACCAACGTTTTTCAATTTCCCAACAAGTTGTATATTAATTTCTTTACATCCTCCTAAAAACACGAGGGATAATTACTACTTCAGTGAGTATTTTGCAAAAAAAATTTAGTATATATAATTACAATAAAGTTTTATGGTTAAGTAATATAACCTTTTTTTCTTTTTCCACTGTTTGAGTTAAATGGATCACAGCAAAGTTATGTGAATTGTGGAGTAACGTTTTAAGTAAACATACTCATGGAAGCAAATTGTTGCATTTTCATCAATTTCAATCAGGTTTGGTCAGGAAGGCGTGCGATTTTAAGTCTTTTTATGACCATGCAAATAATATTTTGTTTTGACAATTTAACCATGGTTTTTAACAAATGCGCTGAAAAAATTGATTTTTAATTACATTGAAAATAAATAACTTTGACATGATTATCTACTAATGTTTTTATATTAGCAAAACAAAAATAAAGGAGCTAATGATTTTAATTTAAAAGCAGATAAAGTATCATTGAAAGTTGTATAAATTTTTATTTATATTATTTAATTATATTAGATTTTTTTACAAGTAAAACAAAAAAAGTAAAAATTATAAAAAAAAAATTAGATTTTATAAACGACGACTTTAAACAGCGATGGTCTTTTAAATAGACTTTATATAAAAATCATTTAAGTTAACTTTATATAAAAATCATTTAATTCACACGAAAAGTAGAAAGATTTTATTGTAAAGAAAAAAAGACCAACTTCTTGATCTTTACTTATGTTTTTATATTATTGAAACACATTTAAAATAAGTAATTAATCACTGCTAATGATTTTTTATAAAAATATAAATGAATGATATATATATATATATATATATATATATATATATATATATATATATATATATATATATATATATATATATATATATATATATATATATTTAAGTATGTATTTTTTATTATGAATGTCTTTAGATAAAAAAAAAATTATTTCAACTTTTTAAATAAACGATTTATTTATTTTTTCTTTTGTTTACATTAGTGCGGAGAATTGTTAGGAATTTTTTTTTTAAATTTTAAATGTGCGCATTTATTAAACAATCGATAGATGCCTGTTGTTACTTGATTTAAAAAGGGTTTCACATGATATTATAAAAACATTAGTAAAGATTAACAATTCAAAGTTATTTTTTCCAAACGTAATATTGATAACTTATTGTTATAGTTTATTATTTATTTTAGTTATGTTTTAATTTTATTATTTTTATTTTAGTTATTTTTATTTTATTTTTTTTTTTTTTTTTATC